CGGCCGGCAGCCTGAGGCGGCTGCAGGAAACTACAAGGCACCAACACAGAGCGTACAGTGAACAGCATACTCAGGACCAACGGGGCAGTCGGAGGAATTCACACTGATGTTTTACCAGCTGATGTTATGAAAGTTAATCTGGTCATCAATAATTCACAAGTGTGATACTCTGTCAGAGCTTGTTGTTGTTTGTCTCCAACTTTATTTTCATGAATCGTGAAGATAAAACCATCTCTTTATATTTTAGAATTCATCACAGTGGAACATTTTACTTTGAAAAGACTCATGGTGATGGGGGAATGTGAAACTGGGGGGGGATTTCATGTGACTCACCACTGTACTATCTAAACCTACAGAGACGAGGGCGACTCACACTGTGTCTGTGAACTGTGTCCACACAGCAGATGGACAGTTCACTGTCTGACAGAAAACACTGACTTCAGACACACAACTGAATCCAGAGCAGCAGCTTGTTGTCAGGGTTTTACCAGACAACAGTCGGTGTCATCTAGAGAGGAGGAGCTCTGCTGTTGGCTGAGACAACTTCCTCATTCAGAGTGAAACGTGGGGGAGGTGCAGCAGAGCTCTGCTCCTAACCACAGTGACTACACCCTGTCAATGTGCCTCTATTTTGTGAGAGCGAAGGGCCCAGAGTCAGTGTTCAGCTCCACTGTTACACTCAGAGATGCTCAGTGTCCAGGTTTTCATCAGGTTTAACAGACTGTGGTCTTGGTTACATCTGTTCTACATGAGCCTCTTTCATCCTGACTGTAAACAGAGACATCAGACTGAGCTGCCTCTTTTCTCTCTCTCCTCTATCAAACTCACCCTGACCAGTTGAGGCAGAAGGCCGCCCACCAAGAGCTGGAGTCTGTCGGAGGTTTTCCTCCTGGCTCAGGGGGGTTTGTTGGGTTTCCCCTAAAACACTGTGAGGTCTAGACCTTATGATGTAAAGTGGCCTGAGATGGTTGTTGTTGTGAACTGGTGCTACACAAATAAAACTGAACTGGGAGCTCCCTGTTCCCAATAAACACCCTAGAGATTAGAAATCTAAGGAGACAATTACAGGCTCTGTTTTAAGGCTTCTTTGTGTTGCACCATGTGTGTGTGTGTGTCTCACCTGGCGCTGCCCAGTAACAGACCAGGTGTGTCTGTGCTGTGGATTCTTGGAGCTGGTTCAACAGGTTCCAGGTGAGATCAGACGTGTGTCAACAGGATCAACTGTTCAGGGAGTTTGTGCAGAGTAAACACCTTCTAGTCTTACATCTATAGAAAAGAAACTGATGGAGGATCCAGAAACTTCTACAGGTCAGTACACAATATACAAATGAAAATAGAATCAGTTTATTGGCCAAGTATGTTAAACACACAAGGACTTCAGTGTGATTTGTCAGACAACAGGAAATAAACAGTCTGTCTGTAATATATATTAAAGGTCTGGGAGAAAAACAGAATTTATAACTAAAGTACATATATACAAACACAATGTGGTAGAAGAGTTTCAGAAAAGTAACAAGAACATCTTTCTGTACATTTGTCTCTTTTTTCATTCCCAATAACCAAACTGTGCAACCAGGAGCTGAACTGGTAACACAGTTCTGTTACTGGGAATGAAAAAAGAGACAAATGCACAGAAAGATTTGCTTTGGATGACAGTGATACACTCACCCAGTCCACTTCCCAGTTAGGATTTATGTTTCATAACAGCTGTTGGTCACCTGCTTCTTCATCAGGAGGAGGAGGAGGGTGGGGATTCTTCTTCATGGGTCTTTTATATTTCAGGAGGACAGAAACAACAACAACAACAAGAACTGAGAGACCAACTATCAGTCCAACATGTCCTCTGATGTTTCTGTCCTCGGCTCCTTCATCCTCGTCTCCTCCCTCCTCCG